CAGTATGATTTAAAGAAACAGGTACAACATTGTTACATAATTTATATATTGCCAACCCAACCGTAAGATTATATTCCTAACAGGTATCACTAAGGCGCCAAGCCACGTGGCGCTCTGCCCGTCCCCCCAGCTCCCGCAGCTTGGCACATTCAGGATACCCCCTAGGTCAGAGCATGGAGCTCTGCCCAGCTGGAGAAGGGGGTTGCACGAGCGCCTCTTCCGCCCCCAGCCTCACCAAGCCCTTGCGCAGCTCTCCCAGGGCACCGCCGCTGGCCGCCACCACCACGCCCCAAGCATAACTTCCAAACTCCAAAACTCAGGGCCGAGTCTTCCAGCATCGGCCGCTCTAGGAGTGCTCTCTATGGTGGGACGGCTGACAGACAGACAGTCTGCCGGACAGAGAGTCTTTCAGCAGCCGTCCCACCATAGAGAGCACTCCTAGAGCGGCCGATGCTGGAAGACTCGGCCCCGAGTTTTGGAATTTGGAAGTTATGCTTGGAGCGTGGTGGTGGCCGCCAGCGGCGGTGCCCTGGGAGAGCTGCACAAGGGCTTGGTGAGGCTGGGGGCGGAAGAGGCGCTCGTGCAACCCCCCCTCTACAGCTGGGCAGAGCTCCATGCTTTGACCTAGGGGGTATCCCGAATGTGCCAAGCCGCGGGAGCTGGGGGGCGGGCAGAGCGCCACGTGGCTTGGTGCCTTAGTGATACCCCCTAGGTCAGTGAATGGCGCTCTGCCTGGCTGGAGAGGGGATTTGCCAGGAGGCTGCTCGTGAGCATGGTTACCTCATAACTGCTTCGTCCCTGAGGCTGTGCCCGGCTCTTTGGGAGCCAGTTCGCAAGGGAGCAGCCGCCCGGCAACCCCAAAACAATAAGCCCTCCCTGATAATAAGCCCAAGGCCATATTTCATGGGGCAAAAGAAAATAAGACCCTGTCGTATTTTGGGGGAAACACGGTATCGAAATTCCTTTTGTTAGGACAGTACATATACATATCCTTAACAATATCCATTATCATTTCATTATTATTGTTATAATTAATATTTGTTAACAGGAAATCCTTTACTATTTATATCCAATTTCTTCTCATCAAGCCAACACATATATGTACCTTGTTGTCATTATCAATTATTTATTTAATATGGCCATCTAAAAATTACTAAATTATTATTTACAAATTATAAAACTTAATTAATTTTTTGTTATCAACTTTCATATCTCCATTAACATTACCCCTTTATGACACATTCAAAATAAGGGTTAATTAGCAAAAGTTTCTAAGC